TAGGACTTACCAGTAAATGCGTCCAGAGCCAGCCGAGGTGTTTCTATAATAAAATTAACATTCAATGCAATATTTCTTCTCACGTTTATTATCTTACTGTATTTATTGCAGACAGATTAGGCCGCGCTACAGTGTCGTGTCTCGCTCACCAGCAGTAATAAATCACTGAGGACAGGTGCGCGCTCCTTAAAGAGCAGCAAAACTGAAACCTCGGTAACGCGCGCTCACAAAACCGGCCGACCACAGACGCGTCAGTTTCCGCCACGCGCTCTGCCTCGCGCTGATACAAACCAGACTTACACTAACCCTAACTGCTGCAGTGCGAAGGAAAACTACCAGCAAAATAAATCAGGGTGCTCTCATCGAAAACACAGCCTTTTCTGTTGGACATACATCTTAATGAGGCCTACCTATTTTTGTTTAACCGTGGATGTGACTAATAAAAAGCACTGTGGTGATTTTATGTCCTCATTGCAAAAATGGCTGCAGTAGTCATTCATTGCAAATGTAAACCATAGGTAGGCCGAGGAGTGTGATATGGTTTTGAAGGCGTGATTATGACGATTCATTTTAACTCAGATTTTCTGTTGCCACTGAAGGTATCAAACACTCACAGACCCCATGCAGACATATGTTTTGACGCTGGGATGCTGGTTTAAGCTGGTCCTTTGCTGGTTTATGCTGGTCATGTGCTGGCAAAGGACCAGCTTAAACCAGCAAAGGACCAGCATAAACCAGCAAAGGACCAGTTTAAACCAGCAAAGGACCAGCATAAACCAGCAAAGGACCAGTTTAAACCAGCAAAGGACCAGCATAAACCAGCAAAGGACCAGTTTAAACCAGCAAAGGACCAGCATAAACCAGCAAAGGACCAGTTTAAACCAGCAAAGGACCAGCATAAACCAGCAAAGGACCAGTTTAAACCAGCAAAGGACCAGCATAAACCAGCAAAGGACCAGTTTAAACCAGCAAAGGACCAGCATAAACCAGCAAAGGACCAGCTTAAACCAGCATCCCAGCGTCAAAACATACCTAACCAGGATATGCTGTTTTTTTCAACAGGGCTGATGAACTCTGGGGAGTGTGGTTGTGCTAGGTGCAACAAGACTTAGCTCGCTTGCCCATGCCTTAAAACCATATAAATAACTGACATTAAGTCCTCACATTTAGGTCAACCAGCGTGACATTTGCGCTGTAGGGATGACAAATAGGAAAGAACTCTCAGTTGTTGTTTTTTTCTAAAGCTGCAGTTTGCAGGTTTATTGGTTTAGCAAGAAATGAATATAAAATGGCGCAAAGCACCATTCTGAGTTGTTAAAAGCAGCTTTTTCCACATCAAGACATTTGAAATGTTTTAAATGATGTACACACATGAGATGAGGGCTTAAGTGGCCTGATTAAAGTGATAGTTCACCCAAAAGTGAAAAATGTGCCATTATTTACATATAAAGTTGTGCAAAACCTGTATGACATTTTTCTTCTCTTGAACATAAATATTTAGAAGAATGTGGGTAACCAAACAGTTGCTGGTCCCCACCGACTTCCATAGCAGGCACATGCACAGGTAGGGCTCAACCTGTGCAGAGCACATGCCCTTTTTGCCCTTACACTCCAAAGTGCCCTTTTTTTGGTGATGGTGTTTTTTTTTTTTATATCTTCAAAATATTGGATAAGAAAAAATGAGTAGTACAAAAATAAAACAACGCCAATATTACAAAATATAACATTAAAAAGTGTATAAATCACTCGTTTTTCTAAAGGGGGGGGGGGGAACTTTTTCAGTTTCAGCACATGCCCCTCAAAAGGTCTGTGCACGGCCCTGTTCCATAGTATGCAAAATACAGAAGTCAGTGGGTACCAGCAAGTGTTTGATTATCCACTTTATTCAGAATATCTTAAAAAAAAATAATAAAAAAAATTTCATACAGGTTTGGATGTTCATTTTTGGGTGGACTATCCCTTTAAATTTATTTTAATCAATATGAAATAATATAAAAAGCATAACTAGATCAGACAAATTTCTAAGCGAAAACAATTGCTTTTGCACGGTGCTACATCCATGCAGAGCTTCGAAGGGTCAGTTTAATCAAAATGAACATTCCGTCATGTACTTACCCTCATCTGTAGGACTTTAGTAGTTATGTAAAACACAAAAGAAGATATTTTGAAGTCTTTTTTTTCTCAATATTGAAAGTCAATTGGCTCTAATGTTGTTTGGATGCTGCACTGTTG